TGTTTTTAAATAACATAATTATTTTCTTAAAAGTATCAGGGTACAATGGGAAAAAAACACTGGACTTAAAAGTCAGAAGATCTGAAAAAGAGTCCTGACTTCTGCTGCTGTGTGACCCTTGGTAGATCACCTCATTTCTCTCTGATTATCAGTTTCCTTATTTGCCAATGGAGATTAAAAAAAAAACTCATCTACTTCACAAGGTTGTTGAGAGGATCAAACAAGACCCTATATGTAAAAACATTTTTTAAGTTGTAAAGCACTAAAAAAAAAGTAAGAGTATCATTTTCACAAAAGAAAGGACAGCCAATAGGAACTGATTTTATGCTGCTTCTGGAAAAAGACATTTTTTTCACTGGCCAGGAACCTAACAAAAAATGCTAATAAAACATGTCATTGAATATTTCATAACACATAGTACTTTATTCAGAATGTTTAACAAATGCTAACAATACTCTGAGATTATAGGTTTAGATAATTATTGCCAACATCTAAAAACTCATCTGAAAATGTTTCAAAGACAGTAAATTTGGGTAACAGAGCAATGCATGTTAAGTTCACAAAAGGATGGAACATTCTCAGGCATAGCAAAAAATAAAATGCTATATCAACTTCTTAATCCTTTGTTTGCATGTGGGTAATTTCAAAATAAAATAAACTAACCACTTTCAAGTGGGACCAACTAAATTAGTAGCATTACCTAAACAGACAACTCAGTGTAACCACTGCACTTTTTTCTCAAGTAAGGTGTGTCAGACTACTGGCTAACTTCCTTCATGCCTCCTCCTTATTAAACAAAATGAAATCCTAGAATCATATTTTAAAAGTATCACAATGATTTTCAGAAATGAAGCTCCTACTCATGTTACAGATGGTTACTGGAAATATAAAATGTTTTTTCAAGAACTTTTTTATATTCTAGCCACCAAAATATAGCTTACTGTAAAGCAACTAAACAAATGTGAACCCATGACATAATCAATGTAATGTTGAACTTCACTGTTTACTCCAATCCATCCAGTAAGCCCTTTCCACTTAACTATGAATAGTAGATAGTACATGTTAGACTAAATGTCAGATAAAAATTTAAAACATTCAAAATTACTTCTTAATTTTGCTAAGCCTGACTACTATAGGGAGAATTTGCTAGGAGATGACAGGAAAGGAAAGTGAGGGAGAAGAGATCCTGTCAATGACAAAATATAATCAATAAATCTTCAATCATGCATACTGAATACTTGCCCAAAGATACACGGTTTTAAGACACAGTGGCACGCTCTACCAGAATTCACTATCAGCATTAGCTCTCTTCCCAAAGACAAAAATCATTAGTATTAGTAATTAGGAAGCCTAGGCTATAACTCAGAACTGAACCCCACAAAGAAGCATAACAGAAACAAAGTGAACTAACAAATTCTAAATAATATTCATATCCATACATAATTACTCAGAACACTTAAGTTTTTAAGATTTTATGGTAGTCAATTGTGTTTTTATTTAGTTTTGTCTCCTACCAGACAGCATAGCAGAGTTTTAAAAAACTAGCAAGGCTAGAAAAATGTCAAGTAACAAATGTGAATTCTTAATAAATCAAAAGAAAACATCAGAATATGTAATGAATGAAAATGCTTCTTCACAATATATATGGAATAGAATGGAAATATGTAAATAACTGGATTTTTTAAAAAGCTGAAGTAATGCCTAAGCAAATAAGGTTGCCACTTCTGCAAAATCAGTTTCACTGGACATAGTCTGATTTGCTTTCACCTGCAAAATTCATTTCAAAGACATCAACATTTAGAGGGAAGAACAATTTCTAATACAACTTTACACACTTATCAACAAATCATTCAAAAAACTTACCGTTTACAAACGTGTATGTGCTTGTGCTAGCTTCAGACAAGATAGCAGAAGAGTCACTTTCTGTACCTTAAAGTGAAGTTCATTTCAATACAAAAGACATATCACCATAGCTCCACTTTTAATAAAGTCCTGACTATAAGTCTGCCTTTGGGTTTGGCTTTTCTCTTACAAGATAAGCTGTTAAGTTATGCCTTGATTTTAGATCTGCTAACATATGGAGTCTTCTAATGTAGCCTCCTCCCCCGCCCATCACCACTCTGCTATGTTCTCTCTACACACGCACACATACACACATACAAAAAAGGCACTGCAGGGCAGAAATTCCTCAGGTGCTCGCTAATGGAATTCCCAGGGTCTTGGAGCCGCTTCGGGGATCAAGAGATCTCATAGCCCCTGCTGGGGTAAGGAGCAGCGAGTCTGTTCCATTTAATCAAATACAGAATGAATTTTCAGCTCTATTCACTAGCTTGTCTCCAGGGCTCTCAAAAGGCACCAGGCAGCTAGAATCACACACATGTGGCTCTTTTAGGCAAGTATAATTAGTTTGATTTTAAAAGGCCACATTAATAATATCACCTCAGGACTATTATTTAGAAGACAGATGACAATGATACTGTATGTTTTAAGCCTGACAATGGTGGAAAGCCCACAGACAATAAGGGAAAACTTGAAGAGGGAAAAGAGACAGGTTTTTGTTTTTTCTAATCCAAGATTTTCAAACTGACATGCTGTATTTCCCATATCATGATTCCTTAATTTTAACTGAAAAGGATAAAGTAAAATCTCTTCCCCCTTCTTTATTTCCCCTCCCTCCCACTTCTCTTGAAAATGAACTAAAGAAAAGCACAGTGACAAACATCAAATCGATTTTCTCAATGCAATCCAAAGTGAAAACAGCAAAGCATTCTTCATCAATTCAACCCAACAAAATTCATTTTTTAAAAGGCACTAAGAAAAATATGGGCATATCCTTCAAAGCTATACATTTAGGAGGCTGGACTTAAAAACACCCCTCTCCAATCTCATTAATATTAAGATCTTTTTTTTATTGTCAATCTAGTTCCACTTTAACTGTTTCCTTATCTGTAATTTTATGCAACACAAACACTAATAAAGGTGATGTCTTATTAAAACTTTTATAAAACAAAAGCTATTTTTCACATTTTTTAATTTGGTCATTCCTCAGTGCCCCATTCCTATTAGTTCTGTCCTCTGATCACTGAAACAGTATGTAACCCTTGCAATTATTTCCCTAGAAGTACAGAGGGCACTGATGTAGCCACTTTTCAATATGTAAGAAACATCTAAGTAGAGATTTTGCTTCAATTTTTATTTTAATAAAACAAGAAATAAAACAAACTAGAACATAAGATAATTAAATATGAGCAAATTAAGTTACTAAAACCTAGCAAACTGGGGGGGGGGAGGAATAAGAACTTTTTAACAAGGTTTCCCTGGCCCCTTTAGAAGCAAAGCCCTATGACAGAAGTTGGCTATTCCACTATGGTGTCCTGATCTAGCCACCTTACCGATTTGAAGAAAAGATCTGTGTTAATTCCTCCCACACCAAAATCAAAGCACCTGCAAGGGAGGTGAGGGCAGTGATAGACTTAGAAGGCAACTGCCACATGCTCGATGAACATGATCTAAAGTCTTACGACTCTTTGTCTAGTGCTTTCTAGCATTCAAGCTGGAGCTGTTTAATCACTTTCCATAGAAAAGAAGGTTGATGAGAGCCACAGTAATCAAAGCATCCATCCCATGTGAGTTACTACACAAACAATAGCATAGTACTTCTAGTAACTGATTTTCCTGGTTGACTAAACTATTCAAACAATACACATCTTTGCTGCATTTCTTAAGATATAAAATGTTTCAGCTTTGCACAATGTCAAACACACACCCAGGACATATGTCTTTACAAACTGAAACAGGTTTTCTCCATCCTTCTCATATAACTAAAAGTATGAGGCAGTTTATTTCAACATGTGCCTAACAGATACTACAGTACAGTATTTTGTGACTCTCCAGGTTACTAAAAATGTTCTCTAGTTGAGCAATTATATTAAAACAGCAGCTAACTCAAAATTTCCAGAAATCTTCCAAAGCTTTTCTATCTTAAAGCAAAAGCAGAGAACTGTCTCCACAGCTAAGTAAAAACAGACAACCACAAATGCAAATACAAAATCCCCAAATGATAGTCAGTTTAGAACTCTCAATGAGTTTCAGTAAGAATTAACTCAATTCATTCAAATTACCTGACAGTTTGGGGATTATCACATAAGTGAATTATTTCTATCAAAAGTTAAATAGCCTGGCTTCCTGCGCTCTCACTGGTTAGCATAAATCTCAAGTCACCTTTTAATCCAAACCTTATTTTCCAAGGTGTTCGAGTTAGGAAAGAGTGTTTGTTGATGACGTCTCCCAAGTTCTAGTTGAGTTCACTATTAAAGGAGTCTGTCTTTACAAAGCACCTGCCACCCTTAGTGGTCCTGAGAAGCAAAACCAAGCACCCTGAACAGCAGCAGTCCCTCCAGCTTTCCACCTGATTTGGAGGGGTTGTGGAGAACAATAAGAGGGAAGGGTGAGGGAGTCTATCTATGCCCCTTCGGTGATTTATTACTGAAATTCCTAGATGTGAGGAGAAAGCAAGCACACAAAGGTCTGGAAGCTGTAGACTGAAATAAATAGTGAGTTGTAATGCATTTAGCAAATGATAATGCAAACCACAGAAAGCTTTACACAGAAGGAAAAATACACTCCCTGGGGCTGGGAAGTAACTGAGTGTGCGGAGACAGAGAAAGATACATTGTGGAGGAAATTTCTCCGGCTTCTCCCTACACATAAATCACTGTCCCTCACGGGGGCTCGGCGGGAATCGATAGGGAGGGAGGGAAGCGACAGAAGGGAGGGAGGGTCGGGAGGGGGCTGCGCCCGGAGCCGCCCCCACACTGCACGCACACCCCTAGCTCTTCACCTGCCCAGACTGATCCTTGTCAACGAGCCGGGCGGCTGACACCTCATCCCGCCGGCGCCCCCCCGGGCCGCCACTCCACCCAGCGCCCCCGGCGGGGGGTCCTTCTCTCGCGCCCTCCTCCCCGCGCCCCCACTCCGCGAGCCCCGCGGCACTCCCGCACCTCTCAGCGGGGCTGGCTGAGCCCACAGACGTCCTGCGCGGCAGCCGGCTCCGGGAGCCACCCCCAGGTCATCCCCAGCTCGGCGGTGGCGGCGGCTGAGGCTGCGATCCGAACGGGCCCCTCCATCCACCGGGCAGCAGCGGCCGGGAGAGCGCGGCGGCGCCTCCCACACCGGGGGCGCGGAGGCGGTGCGTGCGAGCGCGAGGCAGAGCGGGCGAGCAAGCGGGTGGGCGGCGGGCTCCCCACTCTCCTCACCCCCGTGCTCAGGCGCGAGCCGGGGCACCGGGGGGGGGGGGAGGCGGGGAGCGGAAGGCGGGGCCAAGGGCGCGTCCCCGCGGCCGCGCGCCGAACTCCGAAGGGGACGCGCGGGCGCGTAACCCCGCCGGCACCAGGCCAGCCGCGAAAGGGGCTGGGTGAGGGAGAAAGAGGCGGGTCTTAGGGATACACTCTCCACTCTGGAGAGGTGGGGCGGGGAGGAAGAGGGAGAGTGGTTCTCTTGGCGGCGCGCGCAGTTTGCCAAGATCTACTACGGGGGGGGGAGATGGGCCATACCAAATCTGAGTGAAGCACGGGGGAACCACTAAATGGAGAGGTAACAGTCCCCTCGTCTCTGCGCTCTCCGCGGGCTCCTCAGGTAAAAGACTTTAAGCGATATTTGCATACAGATGCCCCATGGGGTGACAGCGAGAGGGGCAATGTTTGTCCTGGCATCCGCATAATCCTCACGCACAGCCTACCCCTCACCTGTCCTTCTATGGAAGAGGCTACATTCCTCTTCTGGGATTGCTGGAGGTCCCACCTTCAGCCTGTCGCCCCGCTTTCACACAAACCCTGTAGTCATCAGCTAAATCGAGCCCTGACCCACCTAGCGCTTCTTTCCTCTAGTAGTCCTCCTAACGTCCTCTTCAGTAGATTCAGATGCCGCATAACACACACGCACCCTCCCTATGCTTCAGTTTTCCCATTTCTTAAGAGGTCTTGTGTGTCTTGCTGGACTTAGAGCCCAGAAGCAAGCCCCGAAAGAAGGCATAAGTGCAACACACAAAGGAGTCCAATGAGAAATAGAAAATAATTTCTAACTTTCCCCTAGATTTCCACTGAAATGCTTCCAAAGAATTTCATGTGTTACTTGACCCGCACGATAGCCCATCCATCATAGTCTGGACAATAGGCATTCTTCATCCTCTTGCATTTTCCTTTTATATGGGCCAAATATTTGAGTGATTGTGGAACTTGTTTAGGCGGATCTGCAGTGTACCAGGGCTTGACCAAAACTGCAAAATGTCATCCACAAATAAAAGCATTCAAAGAACCCTGCCACCTCTACGGAATCATTCAAGTCCACTTAAGTCAATAAGCATTTATTAAGTGCCTACTATGTACCAGGCACAGGGCTAAACTGGAGGTACAAAAAAGGGCAAGAGCAGTCCCTGCCTTCAAAGAGCTCACAGTAATTCAGTGAGAAACAGCTGTTCCATGGTGGTGGTAAGCATGTTTCCCTATTCTATGTCTCTCTAGATGTTACTAATCAAAGGGTCTTCTACCAAAGTTATTTCTATTTTATCTTTGAGGAAATCTTGCATCATTTTTTTGAAATGCATAGAAGATACCCTATTGGAGGAGACCTTTTGAAGTGGTATTTTGTTCTACCAGTTTATATATTTTTTAAAGTAAAGGAATATTGTATCTCTATACTTTAAAGTCAGTTATGTGGCTGTACAGATCTGTTCTATTATAGAATATTATTTGCAAAATCCTGCTGCTTGTTCCCTTATGCTTTTGTGAAGAATGCTTTCAAAACATGTGCAAATTTTTCTCAGTAAAATGTTGTAGAGTTGGCAAAGTAAACACATGTGTCAGAGGCCATTGATGTTCTCTTGGATTCCTCAGCAACTTCAAAATTGTCAAAATTTGAGTGTTACCGGAAAGGCAATTTGAAAGGTATATGATAGGCACGAGTAAGCAGTAACATATTGCCAATGAAGCATTACAAAGGAGAAGCACCTTAAAAGATGTCATCAGAGAGATGTGTGATTGGAAATGAAGGTGGGCCAGGCATCTATTGAAGGTGAGACATAACAATGGGTCACCCTTGCCCTCTATTAGTAATTATGAAACATCAAAAGATCTAGAGGAATGTCCCCAGGAAGTTGAGTGACTCTATTGTAAAGAATTTATGGCGGACCTGAACAAAAGTCACATAGGATGAGAAGACATGGACAGACTGCAGTCTGCATCCATCTTGATGGAGTCAAAAATGGAAAAGGATTACAGTGGAGCTCAAAAGGGGGAACCATGGATAGATAATAATTTGACTGAAAAAAAAGATGAGGAAGCCAAGTCTGATACAATGAGAAAGATGTTATCTTTGGAGTCATAGTTAAATTCCAGCTCTATCACATGCTACCTGTTCCTCAGGCAAGCCACTTAACCTTTTTGGGCCTCAGTTTCCTGAAAACTGAAGGGGACTCTAAGATCCCTTGTAACTCTAAATCTAGGTAGATCCTATGATCAAAGAGTTTTAGTGGCCTGCAACAAGTTCAGTATAAATTAACATGGTGTTATCGCAACCAAAAAAACTAGTATAATCTTGGGCTACATTTGAAGAAGTGTAGTGCCCAGGACTAGGAAAGTGATAGTCCCATTGTATTTTCCCCGGTCAGACTATAGCTGACTATTGTAGAGGCAACAAATTTTAGTGTAGTAACCCCTTTAGCCTATTCCCCAAACATACTTGAAGACTGAGTCCCCAGAGGACAGCTACTACTTCAGGCACTATAGATATCCCAATGGGTCCATATCCCTGAAGCTGTAGCGTCAAGCCCCTATTGGTGTGCAATAACACCAATAACAACAATAACAATTAACCAATTGATTCAATTTTAGTTCTTAGCAAAGGCATTTTCTCAAATGCAATCAATACATATGTATGTGCGTGATTATAGTTAAATAAGGGGTTTATTTTTCCTTCTTTCTCAATGAGGGGAGGAAGGAGAGAAGGCATTTTTGTTGATTAAAAATATATATACATATATAATTTTTTAAAAGAAAATTATGAATTGTTGTTGTTGAGTTGTATCCAACTTTTTGTGACCCCATTTGAGGTTTTCTTGGCAAAACTACTGGAGTGGTTTTCAATTTCCTTCTCCAGGTAATTTTACAGATGAAGAAATGAGGCAGAGTAAAGTGACTCATCCCTGGTCCCATAGCTAAGTAAGTATCTGAGACCACATTTGAAATCAGGAAAATTGTCTCCCTGACTCTACGCCAGGTACTCTATCTATTTTGCCACTTAGCTGCCCCATAATTCACATTTATATAGCACTTTAAGGTTTGCAAAGTGCTTCACATATATTAACTCATTTGATCCTCATAAATCTCTGGGAGACAGGTACTATTATATTATCTCCCTTTTACAGATGAAACTGGCAGAAAGTTTAAGTGACTTCCCCAGAGTCACACAGCTACGGGACGTGTCAGAGACTGTATTTGAACTCATATCTTCCTTAGTACAAGCCCTGTGTTCTATCCACTGTGCCACTTAGCTGCAGATGGCTAGAAAAAAGAATTTATAATCGCAGGCTATACTTTGCAAGAAGTATACACATATGCTCTAAGTTAATGGATTGATGTCTTCTTACGATATATGGGGGATAAAAAGGATGCTGGATGATAACAAGGGAATTTGGATAACGGGATTTTGAGCTTGGGGAATTAACCTTACCTTGAGTTTTTAAGAAATATTCACTGAAACTTTATGGGATCAGTGCTTTCAAAGCACGGTGGTAGTAGGGCACAGGTGGAGGAGTCATATGTGGTACATGCTACTCACAACTCCTTACTTCAGAGCCTAGAAGGTTCTTATTGAGTACAGGGTCTGTGCTAGGTAGGTTGCACAGATGATTTCCCAGAGTCTGTCCTTCTGCATGGTCAGCTCCATTGCTGGGGGTCCTTTTCTCACAGCTATTTCCTCCCTTGAATAACTGCCTCTCTGTATCTGTGTCTACCTGAAGAGAGCCTTTCTACTCTCTGCTAGATGCTGTGTCTGCTATTGGTCAAGCAGCACCTCTTCAAATCTATAACGTCTGGGAAGGGTGGAAGAAAAGATCCTTCCTCTTCCCCTAAAGGGGTCTCCCCCACTGGAAGATCCTGACTTGCAATCTCTCCCACTTTCCAACTGCTGGAATTCATCCAGGGTTTAACTATTTAAAATCCCCAGGGGTGCAGCTGATTTTTTTCTCAGCCAATTATATTGTTTCTTTCTTGACTCACTCAGAAGTGTTCACAACTCATAGAGGGATCACAGGATGTTATACTTTGTTAAAATGTCAAAACCTGACTCAATTTAGGAGAGTGGGGAGAAGAAATTATCCTTGTCCCTTAAATTAGGGTGGATATTTATATCATGGATAGTGTCCTGTTGGGCAACCAAGATGATGAATCATCTCAAGATCATGCTATACAAGGATTGGTTGAAGGAACTGGGGATAGTTCATCTAGAAAAGAAAAAAAACTTAAGGAGGGACATGGTAGCTATCATCAAATATTTTAAAAACTATGGTATGGATGAGGGAATTCTAATAGATGTGTTCTATTTGAGAGACAGTTTTAGCCTAAGTTGTAAGGAAAACCTAGCTCACTGGAGTGACCCTAAAATGGAATGGGTTGCCTTGGAAAATATTGGGTTCCCCAAAGTTTTAAAAGCAAATGTTTAAAAAAATTGTTTTCACGTGCAGCTGGTAAATAAGATGTACAGGAAATGGGGTATAGAAATCTGTCATGCCCTATAGGAAAATTGAAGGGGAAAGGGATAAGGAAAGGGGGGGAGAGATAGAAGGAAAGGCAGACTAGGGGAAGGGGTATTCAGAATGCATGCCATCTTGGGGTAAGGGAAGGGACAAGATGGGGAGAAAATTTGGAACTCAAAATCTTGTGGAAGTAAATGCTGAAAACAATAAATAATTAATTAATTTTTAAAAAAAGAAAGTATTGGGTTCCCCCACATTAGAGGTCTTCAAAAAAAGGCTAGATGACCATTTGCTTAGGATGCTATAGAGGTGGTTCTTGTTCAGGTATGGGCTGGATTAGATGGCCTACAAAGTTCCATTTGACTTCTAATTCTGTGATTCTATGGCCCTATTGGTCAGGAATATTTCAATAATCTATTGTTAGGATGAAAGTCAGAATGGAAATGGATACAAAACTGCTCACCTTGGGGTCAAGAACACTTAGGTTAAAGTTCTGCCTCTGAGACTTCCTAGATATGAGACCTGAACAAGTCACTTATGTGCTAGCTGCCTCAGTTTCCTCAGCTGTAAAATGGGAATAATAATAGACCCTATCTCACAAGGTTTTTGTGAGGATCAAATGAGATCATTTTAAAGCACTTAGTGCCAGTGGCTGGCTTGTAGTCAGTGCTTAATAAATGTTTGTTCCCTATTTTCCCCTTCACAGGTAATACTCTAATAAAATAAAAAATTGACAATCATCAAAACTACTTGGTACTGACTAAGAAATAGAGTAGTGGATCAGTGGAATAGATTAGGTATTCAAGACACAGTAGTCAATGACTATAGTAATCTACTATTTGATAAACCCAGACACCCCAGCTTCTGGGATAAGAACTCACTATTTGACAAAAACTGCTGGGAAAATGCATCTGAAAACTGCCTACTCATGTCCTTTGACCATTTATCAATTGGGGAATGACTTGCATTCTTATTAAGTTTGACTCAGTTCTCTCTATATTTTAGAAATGAGGCCTTTATCAGAGACACTGGTTATAAAAATTCTTTCCTAGTTTTCTGTTTCCCTCCTAATCTTGGTTGCACTGGCTTTGTTTGTGTAAAAACTTTTCAATTTAATATAATCAAAATTATCCATTCTGCATTTTACAGTGTTCTTTATCTCTTGTTTGGTTATAAATTCTTCTGTTCTCCACCATATGCCAAAATAAAATCAAAATGGGTTCATGATTTAGATATAATGGCTGATACTATAAGCAAACTGGAAGAGCAAGGAATAGTTTACCTGTCAGATTTGTGGAGAACAGAAGAATTGATAAATGGTCAAAGGATATGAGTAGGCAGTTTTCAGATGAAGAAATTAAAGCTATCTATAGTCATATAAGAAAATGTTCTAAATCACTATTGATTAGAGAAATGCAAATCAAAACAACTCTAAGGTACCACATCACACCTATAAGATTGGCCAACATGACAAAACAGGAAAATGATAAATGTTGGAGAAGATGTGGGAAAATTAGAACACTAATACACTGTTGGTGGAGTTGCGAACTGATCCAACCATTTTGAAGAGCAATTTGGAACTATGCCTAAAGGGCTATAAAAATGTGCATACCCTTTGACACAGCAATACCACTTCTAGGTCTGTATTCCAAAAAGATCATAAAAATGGGAAAAGGACCCTCCTGTATAAAAATATTTATAGCAGCTCTTTTTGTGGTGGCAAAGAATTGGAAACTGAGGGGATGCTCATCAGTTGGGGAATGGCTGAACAAGTTGTGGTATATGAATGTAATGGAATACTATTGTGCTATAAGAAATGATGAGCAGGCAGACTTCAGGAAAACCTGGAAGGAATTAAATGAACTGATACTGAGTGAGATGAGCAGAACCAGGAGAATATTGTAAACAGTAACAGCCATATTGTGTGATGACTGACTTTGATAGACTTAGCTCTTCTCAGCAATACAAGGATCTAAGACAACTCCAAAAGACTCATGATGGAAAATGCTAAGCACACCTAGAAAAAGAACTATGGAGTCTGAATGCATACTATTTGCTCTTTCTCTTTTTTTTTTGTTTTGTTTCTTCTTTCTCATGGTTCCTCTCATTCATTCTAATACTTCTTTACAACATGACTAATGTGAAAATATGTTTAATATGGATGTATATGGATAGCCTATATCAGATTGCTTACCATCTTGGGGAGAGAGGTGGGGGAGGAAAGAAGGGGAGAAAAATTTAAAACTCAAAAGCTTATGGAAGTGATTATTGATAAATCAAAACAAATTAATGAATTCTTTAAAAATTGAGTTAATCATCTGCACTGATGGAGGGAATTTCCATGCTAGGAACCACTCACACTAGTGAAAAGAATCAGTACAGAGTAAAAACAAAACAAAATAAAAATAAGCAATGTGGGGATAGTAATCTCCTAGTGGGTGAAATGGTAAATCTTCTTGGCTAAGCCCATTTACTACCTATAAGTACATTAAATACTTTGAAGATCAAACAGATTTCAATACATCCAGTTCCTGGCTTTGATCTTTTATTTTATTTTGATTCTATTTATGTATTAGAATCCAGGCTATATAAATTATAAACTAGAAGGGGACAAAAAAGAGGGAAACGACACATCCTAGAAATCATTTGGTTTCTGACCTTTCTTTTCATTATATGGTAAAGGTACCAAAGTTCAAAACAACAACCAAACCCCTACAATAAGTTGAACCCAGAAGGCTAAACAATAACAGAAGTAGGCTTGTCTCCATTTGGATGGTTTCCAAATTTTTACCACAAAGATCCCATTAAATATACAGGAAGCTCTGATTATTTATGATGTAACTTAATATTGACAGCTTATTAAATGCCCTGACCTTCTCCACTAACCTTTGGAATTATACAACTGGCAGCTGCATGACACCTTGGCTATCAAGGTAGGAAAAAATGCATATCATCCATTTCTTTTTGCATGATCATTTTTACTTTCTCCAGGGCAAAAAAACCCCCAAAAAACCCTCAATGGATTGACTGCATTCCCCCTGTCTTGTACATTTCCTGAAATGTGTATGAGTAGGTTTCACAGAGAAAGAGATTTCTATGGCCTTTTATATGCTGAACAGGCTCAGCTCAGAGCCTACTGCCTAAACCTATTATACACAGATCACCTAACTCTGTTACTGAGTTTGTGATGCTAGATTAATTTACCCATACAACAGGTTGAGAAAACGACTTTACACATTTGTTTTTGCACCAATACAGAACATGAAGATCATTTTACAGGAAAGAAAAAGACAGCTCTGTAATGGAACCCACTATTAAACAGACTCTTATGCCACCATTCCTTTCATTTCATACAGTGCCATGGGGCAAACAAGACCCTTGCTGAGTAGTGAAAGAAAGAGAAGGAACTGAAAGAGAAAGATGAGGAGTTGGGAATGTTTAGGGAAGGTGGCGGTTGAAGAATGGGTTATTTGAGGCTGGATGGTTTCATAGAAAAAGTAGGGCACAGAGAATGGGAGCTCTCTGCAATATTATTCGTTCTCAGCTCAGTCATTATCTTTTTGTCTTGCTGTGTGAACTTGGGCTAATCACCTAGCTTCTCTGGTACAGTTTCCCTCATCCTCTCAAAGGAGAGATGAAAGAACTATGATACGTCAGTTCCTCTGAAGAACCTTGCTATACAAATTCCAGGCATTGTTAGGTCAAATTTTAGTAACTAGGAACTCTAGCATATGTTGGACCAATGAGGTTTTGTATATTGTCTTAGCTAACACATGGAGGATTTCATTTTAAGTTCTCAGAAGGCAAAGAGCATATCCTAGCACCTAAGGCATAGCTCTGAATTAAGCCAATAAACTCGGTAAGTACTGTGTTTGGTAGTATTGTCTATGCAGCCCAATTCTTTAACAAATTTGAATAATTCGCTAAACAATATTGCTCATGCAGCTACAAAATAATAACAATGATACCTAGCATTTATATAACAACTTAATGGTTACAAAGCACTTTATATATAATTATGCCATATGACCCTCAGAACAACCTGATGAGGTAGATAGAGCCATTATTTATTATCTTCATTTACAGATCAAGAAACTGAAGTACAGAGAGGCTTACTCAGTCTATTAAATAGTAGAGCCTGAATTCTAACTAATTTCCTAATTCCAAGGCTGTTGTTTTTTCCACTGAATGACACAGCCTGTTCATTAACATTTGTTAAAAATTTCTTCACAACATCACCAATTAGTTTTATTTAAACTAACTTTAATTCTAGTTAATACAGTATTATTTCACTTTCTAAATATCCTTAATTTTCTAATTTTGAGTAGATAATGGCTCTAAATAAGTAAGAGAAAACCAAATATAAATGAAGAGAGGTTGGTGTTATAACAAAATAAAACTTATAACAGAATCAATCTAAGAATAATAGTTATTGTATATTTATATATATATATATAAATATAAATATATATATATGTATAGTAATTATCCAGAATCAGGAATTTATATAAACTATTGTTATCAGCATTACTTTTACACACTCATGTCAAATATTTAATTTTTCTCTTCTCTTTTTAGTTCACCAGCACTAGAAGCAAAGCCTTAGCTCCAGGTCAAGGCATCCAGGCTGACTTGCTAGTTTCCTTCAAAGTTTGGCTCAAGTCATCTCTTACATGAAGCCTTTCCTGATCTCCATAGCTGCTAGTGCCCTCACAAAAAATTACTTTGTACTTATTGGTATTTTGTTATATATGTACATGTTGTGTCCTCCTTGCCCCTCAAAGGATGTAAGATCCTTGAGGATAGGGACTATTTCAGTTTTGTCTGTCTCTCAGCTCAAGGATTTTGAACCCCCAAGTGCTGAAGTACAAACCTTGATCCCCATTCCCCAGCTTCCTGCTCTCTCACTCCTATTCCTCTCACAAAGGCAGCAAGTGGCCAGAGTAGGATTGCTGAGGTACAAGGGTCACCTCCTTGGCCTTAAAACAGGCACTTTCCAAATAAGCTTTATAATTAAACCATGCCTTAAAGTTTTCACAGCACTTCACATTCATTATCTCCTCTGAGCAGCAACAACTTTGTGAGATAGGTTCTACAGATATTGTTATCCCCATTTTACAGATGAGGAAATTGAAATTCAGAAACATTAAGTGCTATGTCCATGATCACACAGCTAGCAAGTATCTGAAATACCATTGAAATATGTCTTTCTAGGGGCAGCTAGATGGCACAGTGGATAAAGCACAGGCCCTGAAGTCAGGAGGACCTGAGTTCAAATCCGACCTCAGACCAAACACTTGATACTTATTAGCTGTGTGACCCTGGGCAAGTCACTTAACCCCAATTGCCTTTAAAAAAAAAAAGAAAAAATATGTCTTTCTGACTCCAAGTTCAGCACACCATCCACTAAGCAAGCTGCCTCTCAGGGAACAAAAAGGTACATTTCCTGGTCTTCCCTCTCAAGTGCATGCAATTCTGTTTCTGTCATTCACGTAGCCTGAATTTCTTCTGCTTCAGGCTCCATACTTCCTTCAAGGCCTAATTCAGATGCCATCACTTCTTTTTTAGGCAGCTGAGGTTAAGTGACTTGTCCAGGGTCACACAGCTAGTGTCAAGTGTTTGGTCTGAGGTCGGATTTGAACTCAGGTCCTCCTGACTTCAGGGCCGGTGCTCTATCCACTATTTTGCTTTTCAATCTCAGGCCAATCAAAATAGTTTGTACTTTCACAGGTGTTTAATAAATGCTTGTTGAATTAAATAGATTAACTACTCATATTACCAGGGCTTTTTAAAGTGGCTCTGGGCAGAACCTAGAGGAGAATAGTACTACTAACATGGGTACAACTGTCTATGAAAAGAGCAGTTTGGACCAAGGGAATAGACTTGGTACCCAATAAAGAAAGTCCTCTGTAAACCAAGGATCAAGGCTAAAGGAGGGAGCTGGTTGACTTGGGAAAGAAATATAGGGAGGGTTATTGAGGGTCAGACTAATGATTAATCTGTATAAAACTAGTTTAGGTGATAAACCTGAATACTTCCAATTTTTCTACCCAAATATGGTTTGTGCCCCGAGATTTCCTCACACTGAATATTATATAAGTAGCAGTGTAGTTAAAAAAAAAACAGACTTGGAGTCAGAAGATTTGGATGTATATCCTGGCTCTTCCACTTCCTGGGGTGGAAAAGGGAATAAATAAGCACTTATGTAGTGCTCACTATATGCCAGCCAATGTGCTAAGTGCTTTACAGATATTATCCTCAGAACAACCCTATGAGGTAAGTACTGTTATTATTTCCATTTTACAGTCAAGGAAACTGAGGCAAGCAGAAGTTAAATAACTTGCCCAAAATCACAGTTAGTAAGTATCTGAGGCCGGATTTGAACTGAGGTCTTCCTGGCTCCAGCCCTCCACTGTGCCACCTAGCTACTCTCCTGCATTTCCTACTCCTCTAGCTTTGGGTTACTCCATTTTTCAAGGCCTCAGTTTCCTTGCCTGTAAAATAAAAAGGTTGAACTAGGTCATCCCTAACAGACCTAGGAAAAAGAATTAGGAGGGCCCTAAGGACTAAGTCATAAGCAGAAAAAACCTTAAACCCTTAGGGGATGGTAACAGAAAGTTACCAGCAGTAGAATGCCAGGTAGCTTTCTGCCTGAATCTATGTCATCACAGAAAGCAATGACAGCGACTTTGAGTATACAATAAGTTGTGGTCCTCACATTCTTTGACGAAGAGCCAGCTGACACTTCAACAAGAATTATGTGCCTAGTATGAGTACCCAAGGTACTCTGCTGGATATTGGGGATGCACAGAGCACATCTGGTACAAAATTTAATATTTTTGTTGTTGTCATTCAATTGTGTATTACTCTTTGTGACCCTATAGACCATAATACGCCAGGCCCTTCTATCCTTTACCATCTCTTGAAGTCTGTCCAAGTTCTTGTTCAATTTTTCCATGACATTATCAATCCATCTCATCCTCTGCTGTCCTCATTTCCTTTTGCCTTCAGTCTTTCCCAAAGTCAGGGTCTTTTCCAAGGAGTCCCATCTTTTCATTATGTAGCCAAAGTATTTGTGCTTCAACCAGTATTTGATCTTCCAATGAACAGCATGAATTAATTTCTTTAAGTATTAACTGATTTTACCGCCTTGCTGTCCAAGGGACTCTCAAAAGTCTTCATCAGCACCACAATTTGAAAGAGTTGATTCTTTGGCATTCAGCTTTCCTTATAGTCCAATTCTCACAGCTATTCATTGCTACTACAAAAACCACAGTTTTGACTATGCAGACATTTGTCTGCAAGGTGATGTCTCTGCTTTTTAGTAAGCTCTCCAGATTTGCCATAGTTTTCCCTACAAGGAGCAAACATCTTTTAATATCATGGCTTCAGTCACCTCCTGCAATGATCTTTGAGCCCAAGAATATAAAATCTGACCCTGCATCCACTTCTTCTCCCTCTATTTGAAAGGAAGTGATGGGACCAGGTGCCAAGATCTTAGTTTTTTTGATGTTAAGCTAATACTCTCCTCCTTCACCTTCATCCAGAGGCTTCTTAATTCCTCTTCACTTTCTTCCATCAGAGTGTATTGTCTGTATACCTGAGATTGTTGATGTTTCTCCTGAGAACCTTAATTCCAGTTTTTTATTCATCCAGCCTGGAATTTCACATTATACTCTGTATATAAGTTAAGTAATAAATAAGATGACAATATATAGCGTTGCCATACTCCTTTTCCAATCTTAAACCAATCAGTTGTTCCATGTTTAGTTCTGTTTCTCCTTGACCCACATACAGGCTCCTCAGGAGACAAGTAAGATGATTTGTAATTCCTATCTCTTTGAGGACTTGCCACATTTTGTTGTTATCCACACAGTCAAAGGCTTTAGTGTAGTCAGGGACAGACATTTTTTCCTGGAACTTCCTTGCTTTCTTCATAATCCAGCGAATGTAGGCAATTTAGTCTCTAGTTCCTCTGCCTCTTTGAAAACCAGCTTGCTCTTCTGGTAATTCTCAGTTCACATATTACTTGCTGGCATGTGAAATGAATACAATTGTTTGGTAATTTGAACATTCCTTGACATTGCCTTTCTTTAGGATTGGGACATAAACTAATCTTTTCCAATTCGGTGACCACTGTTGTGCTTTCCAAATTTTCTGGCATATTAAATGTATCTCTTTGGCAGCAGCATTTTTTAGGGTTTTAAATAGCTCAGCTATATCATTTCTACTAACCTTATTAATAGCAATGCTTCCTAAGACCCACTTAACTTCATTCTCTAGGATGTCTGGCTCTAGATCAGTAACCACACCATCGTGATGATCAGTGATATTAAGACCTTTCTTTTATAGTTCTTTTGTGTATTATTGCCACCTCTTCTAAATCTCTTCTGCTTCTATTAAATCCCTGCCTATTTTTGCATGAAAGTTCCCCTTAATATCTCTAATTTTCTTGAAGAGATCTCTTATCTTTCCCATTCTATTGTTTTCTTCTATTTCTTTGCATTGCACGTATAAGAAAACCTTCTTATCTCTTCTTGGTGAATTCTGTATGCAGTTGGGCATAATCTTTAAAATGACAAAATCGTATCTGTTCAAATTCAAGTCAAACTGTTCAACATCATAGTAACACAAATCTGTGCTCCAGCTATGGATGCTGATGAGGCCAAAGCTAATCATTTCTACAAAGGCCTACAACATCTTCTAGAAATTACACCAAAAAAGATATCATATTCATCACAGAGGATTGGAATGCTAAAGAAGGAAATCAAAAGATAATTGGAATAACAGGCAAGTTTGGTCTTGAAGTACAAAATGAAGCAGAGCAGAGATATAATAGAGTTTTATCAAGATAACTTGCTGGTTATAACAAACACTCTCTTTTCAACAACCTAAGAGGCAGCTGTACACATGGGTATCACCTGATGGTCAATAAAGAAATAAGATTGATTATATACTTTGCAACCAAAAGTGGAGAAGCTCCACGCAGTCAGTGGTTATTACCTGACTGTGGTTCAGGTAATAAGCCTCTTACTGCAAAATTCAGACTTAAATTGAAGAAAGTAGGGAAAACCATCAGATCACATAGGTATGACCTAAATAACATCCCTTATGAATGTGAACTGGAGGTGATGGATACATTTAAGAGATTAGATAAGAGTGCCTGAAGAACTATGGACAGCAATCTCAGTATTGCGGAGGAGGCAGCAACAAAAAAATTCCAAAGAGAAAGAAAAGCAAGAAAGCAAAATGGCTATCTGATGAGGCTTTACAAATAGCTGAAGAAGAAAGGAAAGGGAAAGATATACCCAAATGAATGCAGAATCCCAAAGAATAGCAAGGAGAGGTAAGAAGGTTTACTTAAATAAGCAATGCAAAGAAATAGAAGAAAACAAAATTTAATATAATACAATGTAAATGGAGGTAGAGAATGCTTGGAAAAGGGAGTGGGAATCATGAAAGAGAAAGAAACCCCTTGGCAACCACCAAAAAAAGATAAAGATTCTAAGAGATAGAGGAGATGAGGGACAACAATCCAAGTTTGTGTGAAGGCAAAAAGGTGAGAGATGGAATGCTGAGTTTGGGAAGCAGCAGCTTATAGTTCTGGCTGGCCAAAATACCGAGCATGTTAAAGGGAATAGCAATAATATGAGATAAAGCTGGAAATGCTGTTTAGTGCCAGATTGGGGAGGGAGGGCTAAGCGAAGG